CATATGTTTGCAAGACATGTGGGAAAGCTGTCATGCAGTCATCAGATTTGAATATTCGTATAAGAATCCACACAGGGGAGAAGCTGTATATTTGCAGGACATGTGGGAAAGCATTCACGCGGTCATCAGATTTCATTGCTCATTTACGAACCCACACAGGGGAGAAGCTGTATTTTTGTAAAATGTGTGGGAAGAGTTTCACAGCAAACAGTGCCTTTTTGATCCGCATGAGAACCCACACAGGGGAGAAGCCATATGTTTGCAAGACCTGTGGGAAAGGATTCACACAGTCATGTGCTTTGAATGTTCATTTACGAACCCACACAGGTCAGAATCCGTATTCTTGTAAAACATGTGGGAACAGTTTCACAACAAACAGTGCCTTTTTTATTCACATGAAAACGCACACAGGGGAGAAGCCATATTTTTGCAAGACATGTGGAGAAGGATTCATTGCATCATCAGTTTTGAACGTTCATTTACAAACCCACACAGGGGAAAAGCCATATTCTTGTAAAACATGTGGGAAGAGTTTCACAACCAGCAGTTGGTTATTGGTCCACATGAGAACCCACACAGGTGAGAAGCCATATTCTTGTAAAACATGTGGAAAAGGTTTTGTGAGGTCATCAAGATTCAATGACCATGTAAGAACCCACACGGGGAGAAGCCGTACATTTGCAATATGTGTGGGAAAAGATTTACATGTAACAGTTCATTAGTGATCCATATAAGAATTCACACGGGGGAGAAGCCATATGTTTGCAAGACCTGTGGGAAAGGATTCATTGCATCATCAGGTTTGAATAAACATTCAAGAACCCACATGATAGGGAAGCCATATGTTTGCAACAGCTGTGGAAATGGATTTACAAAATCCTCAAGTTTGGATAATCATTTAAGAATCCACATTGCGGAGATGCCATATGTTTGCAGTACTTGTGGAAACAGATTCAAGTATTTATCAGGTATGATGGAACATTTAAGAACCCATACAGATGAGGTATCTGTAGCAAATATGGACAGCAGCCTCTGAAAAACTCGAGTAATTTTTATTTTTCACCCAGAATGTTCCATGCATGTGCCTTCAGAGATTCAAGGGAAAGTATAAAGGTCTTTGTTCTTGCAAGAAGACTTGCTTTACATAACACTAAAGTTGGATACCCTTTTCACACCAAAAGAGAGAAATCTGCTAAAACAAGAACCCAGCGACTTCTCATATCAGTGGCAAACGTGTTTTTAGTTAAAGCTGAAAAGAAGATGCAAATGTTTCAGTTATGTTTTGCTTTATATGACTGTTTGGTTTTGACTGACAAAGTTACCAATAACCTCGTAGTTGTTTGAATGATAACTACAGAATAACCTTTTCCACCTTTGTTAATACCAGTAACTGCAATGCACATTGTGATGATGATTGTAGTTTCATACAGAACCATATCTTAAATTGAAATATGACAAGCCTCACAGTATAAAATGTTTGTTCCTGGTGTTTTGATTGCATTGGTTTAGATATGTTGACTTAAGATTTCTGCAATTGTAGAACTTTGAGTGTAACCAAATATTACTTATTTTGTATATGGGCCAGCACCACTCTCTCTCGTTCATTTTCAATTATCATAGTTTAGATAGACAACTATTATGCATTTATTAGATGGTCTTAGAAATGTTTGGGCATGAATGAGATTCTTAGTTGCATGTACTCTGCTATGATTTAGTTAACCATTGTGTTACTCGTTATTAGATATGATTTGCTTATTCATGATGTTGTTTATGTCAAGTTGTGGTGAGAGAGAAATTGCTTGCTTCTAGTAATTAGACTTTTAGTTGGATTCTTTAATAGGTTTAATTCACTGACACCTCTTGCCCTCTGGATGTGGCTGTCACAAGAGTTAGTTAAGATAATTTGTATTTTTGCATCTGATTCACCTCCACAGTCCCTCAGTCTCCAACAGCGCTCACAGTCTTTTAGACCCAGCTGCATCATGGATGCCTTCTGAGCTGACCTCCACAGTTCCTGAAACCAGTCACCAAACACTGACCCGCTGACCCTGTCACTACCAGCCCAGTGACGACGAGCAGCCCAGGGAGAGTCTACCCCCTGTTGTCCCAGAAAACTGATTGAACCTGAACCAAACCTCATCAGGGTACTGTGCTGTCAGAGAAGGTATGTCCAGCCAGGGACCAGAAAGGAGGAGGAAGTAGCCTGCCAGGTTGCTGCTACAGCATCACCACAGTGAGGCAACAGGGGAGCAGCTGAGTGACACAGAAAGGGATGTTAGCACTGTGGAGATCTGGGCCACATGGCACACCACTGCCCAGTACCCGCAGACAGCGCCTGCATCCTCAGCATGCCACAACTGCGGCTGGGCCAGACGCATGGACTGTGTACTTGATTTTTGAGATGTTGAGTCAGCAGAAGCAGAT